CCCCGCCGCGGCACCGCAGCGCACCACCTCCGCCTGCCTATTGAACAGTGCGCGCGGTGCACCGCGGGTCCGCGTCGTCGTCCCCATAAAAACAAGCCGCTCCGGCTGCCCGATGGTTTGGCCAGGATTGCGATCTGTGAGATGAGCCCAGGTTGAGTCATGATCCGGGTGGCATCTGCGAGGTGGGCGGGCAGGGTCGTCCTACAGGGCAGATGTTCATGGCCGTATTTTTTAGGCATTCCCCAAGACTATCTCTACCAGAAGGAAAAGTCCCCCCCTCCTCGGTCTCTATAGCACTTAGCACTGAGCGCTCGGTCTGTGCTCTTCTGAGCGATGACTTTTTCTTCTGCCAGAGACAGCGTCTTGGGGATTTGGACGCCCACACAGTATTTGGCGTACGTGCAGCCGGATCCTGGCGGACTGCACAACACAGTTGACCTCCCTGACCATAGGCGCTTATCTTATTCCGGGTGAGATCCACGATCTACCGCAGTTTCGCCGTGGGTTATCGCGGGCGTACAGAGAGGAAGAGGTTTGATAGAGGGGGGGGGGCGTGAGTTGGAGGTGTGGGTGGGTCACGCCTAAGGCCGTCGCGGCCATGTCGTGTTTGACGGCGCGTTAGGGAGGCCAGCGTTGTGGGTGGGTGATCGATTCAAAGCCGATCCGATGAGCGGTTGAGGTGGGGGAGAGGAAAGGGAAAGGGGGGGTTAGGCTGGCAAGGGATGTTGTAGTGCCGCATTCAATTGACGCTGGTGGTGAGCCTATTTTTAACGCCCGCGCCGTTTTGCTAAAGCCAGCAAAGCAACCCTCGCAGAGAGGCGTGGAGAGGCGCGTGTCTTTGTAGCCGCGGAGCACGGTTTGTTGTTGCACTCGGCGTTTCCGTTTCAACCAGCCGGCGGGGCGCGGCAGGGAGGGTGCTGGCGGCGCCCTCCCCCACCGCGCGAGGCCGTGCCCTTGGACGCGTAGGGTGTGGTTGCGCTGGGCGGGGCGGTGGGGAGGCGACTCTCGAGGGATCACCGGTGACCGGTGCGAGGTCGACGTGCTGCTAGCGCTAGTAAAGTGCTAGGGAGAGAACACCAATAAACCCTAGCCGGTCAGTCTCTAGAGACCGCAGATTTTTGGGCGAGTCCTCGCGGGTCTCGACGTTGTCGTCGGGAACCCCCCCTCTTGCAAAGCGCTGTTCAATCGCTGCGGGCGCTCGCCGCTTCCCGACTGTGTTATGCTGTTGTAAACCCGGACGCGCGCAAACGACACCGAAAAAATGAGCTTCTTTTATTTTACTGAAATTGGATTCTTTTGCCTCGACAGAGAGCAGAACACCTCTCTCTCTCTCTCTCTCTCTCTCTCTCTCTCTCTCTCTCTCTCTCTCTCTCTCTCTCTCTCTCTCTCTCTCTCTCTCTCTCTCTCTCTCTCCGCCCCGCCGTTCCTCCCCTCAAACGTAACGACCGCAATCACCCCGAACCGGTGTAATTTGGAGCGTTTTTCCGTGGAAGCGTGCGGCGCGGCGCCGCGACGGGATCGTCCGTCTCGCTCTCTCTCTCCGTCTCCGCGCGGCGCCGGCGGCAGCAACATTTTTGTATTCTCCTCGCGAAAGAACACGAAAGAAGAGCGGCCGCCGGCCGGCCGGCGTCTCGGCGGCCCTCCGACAGCTCTAGCGGCCGCCGTGCCGTGGCACAGAGGGGCGTAACGGGCGAGGGGGGCCGGGGGCGCCAGGTCCCCACCAGCGCCACCAGCCCACGGCCCCGCCGCGCTCCGCCCCACCCCGCCCGTCTGTCTTCGGCTTGGCCCGCCTCTCTACACAGCACAATCTTTCGCACCACGTACGCCAGCCTCAGCCGGGCCCGGGCAAAGCTCGCCTCTGCCCGAGAGTGAGTGAGTGAGTGTGTGTACGTGTGAGTGTGGGCGTGTGTGAGTGTGCGCGTGTGCTCCGTTTGGTCGCGCTTCCGATGCGTGCGCTGCGTGTGTGTGTCACTCTCTGCCAGTCTCCTGCCGTGCGGTGCCGAGTGCGCGTCGTCTGCTAGCCAAGCACACACACGACTGTTCGACTCCTACTGTTCGCGCGCCAAGCGCTTTTCCTGCTGTCTGCTGCGGCGCCTCGCGGGTTCGTGTTTCCTCGTACAAGGTCGCGGCCACCGCAGCCGCCGCGGGGCCGGACGGTCGAAATCACCCCTCCCCCCCATTCTCCCCTCTCTCGTGCTGCCGCGTCGTCCGCCCGCGAGTTTTCAACAGCGGCCGGCCGACCTAACCTCAACGTGGTTTGAGCTCCGGAGTACTCTGCCCCGAGCCGTCGTGGTGGGCGCCGTGCGTCGTGTGTCGCTGTCCGTCTGTATTCGCGCGCGTGTGAGTGTGTGCGTGTGTGCGTGGTGTCGTCGGGCAGCTGCAGGCCTCCCCTGGCCACCCCGTCGAGGCCCAGCCCCGCCTCGCATTGGCGTAGACCCGCCCGCCCCCGCGCCCGCCTGGACGTTGCTCCCCGACGCCCACCCGTCACCGCCGTCAACGGGCCGACTCGTCAGAGGTGGAGGACGCGGCCGCGCCGGAGCGCTCACTAGCCCCAGGAGGAGTCCCGCCAGAGACCAGACCAGGTTAGTCGGTTTCGCCGCAGACGCGACGCCTGAAAAGGAAGACGGGACGTCGGGACGACCCCATCGACTCCTATACGGGGCGTGCGTGGACCGACGCGCGGCGTGGCGGGGGAAGGCCGCCCGTTTCTAGTGGAACGAGTAGATCCGAGGGGTACCGCTTCGCTCAAGAAAATCAGTGTGCACCCCAAAATAAAGTCAGAAAAAATCAGAAAAATAAGAAATTAAGGAGAAATTAAATTAAAACTCAAGTAAAAAATTAAGAAATCCAAGAAAAACAGAAATTCGTGTAGGCTTGAATTTATAGTGAAAAACCCCTCGAGTAGAGTAGATCCCTCTACGTTGGTCTGCGCTCCGCGGGCTCCTCGGCCGTTCCTCCCTCGCCCAAGCCGCCCCTTTGACTGGCTACCCCTTTTAGTGCACCCTGTGACTGACTGGCTGTACTGTACTGCGACTGCGAGAGTTGGTTGGGCTCGGTTGGGTCTGACGGGGGCGACTGTGTCTCCATGGAGTGCACGTGTTGCTGTCATTAGTACAAAATAGGTATTGTTGCGATCCGGTTGCGATATCACAATACACACCTGTTTTTCCTCATCGCCTTCCTCGTTTCCCCCTTTTATGTTATCTCTCGCCCCCTTACGCATACTCTGAACCACCCCTCACAACACACGACACCCCATGACCTTATCTCTCTCACTCCGGCTGTTCGAATAGGCGAGAGGCGACACAGAGACTGGGGGAGAGCGAGACAGAGAGAGAAAGTGCCCCTCCCGCTGTGTGGAATAAGCTTTGTCCTATGTCCCATTATTCTCCGCGGGATCTATTCTGCAATTACGCAAACGAATTGCGGTGCGGTCGCTGAACCGGAGGGGAGCGACGGGGGACGACAATGGGGCCGAAATGTCGAGCCACAAACGAGAGCAGCGCCCATCCCGCCCCTGAGTGAGGCGGGCGCGCGGGTGAGCGTGAACCCTACCTTTTGACGAACAATAAGCTATATCGGCGCCTGGCGCGGCGGTCCGCGAAGGGCGAAGGAAGGGGAGGGGCAGGGAAGGGCGAGCCGTGGGAGGCGGGCGGGGTAGGGGTGGTAGGGCGGGGTGGTTAGTGAGAGGTGCATTGTGCTTCGCCTGCTCGGACTGAATTGTGTTTGCCGGGGAAAAGGGGACTGCTCGGGTGGAAGGAAGGGGAGACAGACGACATCTGTCTCTCACACCTCCCCTTCAGCCCCTCGCTCGGACCGCCCCTTGGTTCCCTTGAGAGGCCAGCTTAGTTCGTGTTGGGGTTGGCTGGAGGAGATGCATGCAGGGGGCATATATGGGTCCGTTACCAACTCATCACCACTCGAACGCTACGGAAATTTTAAATCGTATGGAAGTAATCACGGTACAAACAAAACACGGAAACACGTCAACTGTCTACTTCCGAATTGCTGCAGCCCCTTGTGGTTTTGTCTCTTTTCGTATAGTCATCAATGTAAACATGAAGACCGAGGTCCTAAAAAAATACAAAAAGTATCAGAACAGGTTGCCGGTCTGCGCCGTGTGCGGCTTCCTCGGCCCCGATACTCGCCGTTTTGGAGAATAAGCGTCTGTATTGGTGTAAGGCACAACGGCGCCTGACGCACCGCGCCACGCGACCCGGAGGAGGGGGAGGGGGGGCACACCCATTTCCACAGAAGTTGTCGTCGTGTTTGCGAATAGTCCCTCGGGCTGGTCGGGGAGGCGCGCGCCACCACGGCGGCGAGGGGCCTATCGATCTCCCCGCCGACCGAGAGCGGCGCCATCCTGGCCTACCAGCCCGCCGCCGTCTAGGCGCGTGGAGGCGGCGCGGGGGCGGCTCGGGGGCGGCGCGGGGGCGGAGCGGGGGCGGCGCGTGGTCGACGCGGAATCCTTCCGGTACTGTCGTCTAACGGCGGCGGCGAGGTCTGGAGTGCAAGACCTCGAGCCAGCCTTCGGGCGTGTGCTGCTTGCCCCAGGGCCACGCCGGGCGACGGAATGTAGTTCCGGAGCAAAACTGTTCCCCCTCATAACGTTTCTAAAATCTTTTTAGACAGTCCCCAAGACTGTCTCTAGTAGATGGCAAAAACGTAACTTAACATAACTTTTTTTTTACAAAATAGTCTTCAGAATTCTGGCTAGAATTCAAATTTTCATTTCTTGAACGTTGGGTAATTAACGAATTTTTGCAAGCACAAGTGAATCTTTTGAATTTCTCAAACTACTAAAACAGAAAGTGCATTTATCGAGTCCCAAGCTAAATTTCTGAGGCGAGGCGAGGTGAGCACGTGGGTTTCTCGTGTGGTCGCTGCCCCGGGCCCGAGAGACTCTCTGTTCCCCACGTGCTACCCGTCGCGGCCTCGTTCGTAGCGCGGGGTATCGCGGCGGCACCGTCAGTTCCGCGCCGATTTCAAATACGGCCCGCGCGCGCGCGCCCCGCGGGGCCGCCGCTGCGGCGCTGCTAGGTGCTGCCACCTGGCGGAGCTCCCCGCAAGCTGGGCGGTCCGCGGTTTGTTCGGCAGGGGGCGCCACGGGTCTGCGCGAGGCGCAAGCCGGCGCCCCGGTCGTGGCGTCACGGTAACGCCGCCAAGTGATGCAACACATTTCGCGGTACCGGGCGCGTGACGTCACTCTTCATCAGCTGGTGGGGCCCCAGCACGTCACGGACCGTCACGGACGAAGTGACGTGACGAAACGTCACGAGCATAGTGACGGGACGCGGGCCCATCACGCTTCGCAGGGTGACGGACCCCATGCGGTGGGTACCCGGCCCATACCAGGACGTTGACGTGACGAACGGCGTGAGATACCTTGCTCGGAGGGGTGCGACTCCCGTCACGGCTAAAGGATTGGGACGTGACGCGGACGTGGCGAGTTCGCAATGAAGTTGACGTGACCAGGCGCACGCACGCCGCACGGCCGGGCGCGCCCCAGGTGCCCCCGGCGAGGAGTACTAATCGCAAGTAACCGACAGCGCGATGGCCGGGCGTGGCGGGGCGTGGTGGGGCGCGGCGGGGCCCATAGAACTGCTGCCCGGCTCGTCATGTGAGTCAGACTCATGTCGCGGGCCCGTCAAAGGCAGAGCTGGTGCCTGGGGCACACACATACACACACGAATACTTTTGCCCTAATCAGGCAGAGTTGCGGGCGGCTGCAGCTGCTCCAGAACTCCAGTCGGCGCTGCCGCGCTCCCTCTGGATGCGCCACCGCTGGCACCGCGGAGGGAAGCCCCATAGCCCGCCGAGGACAGCGGCGTGCCCTTGCTCGCGACTCGCGACATTCACCTTCCCGCGGGGCCCCGCCAGTGACCGCCAGCTGACTGACTAGAGCCCGAGGCCAGGAGGCGGGGGGCGTAACACTGGAGCCTAGTTTGCATAACCAGTTTCGGCGCGCCTTTACTTTTACTCTCTATGGCGGGCTTTGTATTATGACCCCCTCCCTCCTTCCCCGCCGTTCCCTTCCAACTACTCGATGCACTTCATCGGACAACGGCGAGAGCAGAGAGCATCCCGACGACCACACCCCAGCACCCCAGCGGCAGCGGCCCGGGCAAGGTAAATCCCTCGTGACGATGGCGTGTGCGATTCGCGCTAACACGACGATCGGATCGGAGCGCTATGGCGCGCGAGATCGGCCGCCGCTCGACCCCCCCAGGGCACATGGGTGTGCGGGAGGAGCAGGACACCAGGGTCTTCTCGGAAGCGTCAGCCCGGCCCGGGGACTGTGGCCCCGGCGCTCCCGCTCCAGACAATATGTGGACCGCCGCCACCACCGCCGCGCTGGCCCGGCCTTGCGGCGCTCTGCCGGCGTGATGTACTCGTACACTTACAGTACTCTCTACCCTGCCCTGCACCGGGTGGCTGAATAATCTCGTGCACTTCTAGGTGCACTGTGCCGCATGCTGGTGTGCGTGCGGGTTTGCCTATCGTCGCCGACCACGGCGCCTCACGCGGCCTCGATCGAATAGGCAACCCGGCCGCACGCCTGAATGCGGTACAGTATCACAACAAATAAGTGCACGGGGTTCCTCCCGTTGTAATTGTTTCGTTTACAAAAAAAAAATAACTAATTAAAACATTTTGTTTTATCGTACAAATTTTGAAATATAAATAAAAAATTGAATCAAGGAAACGTAAATTTTTATTCCCTCCCAAATAATAAAAAGCGTGCGTTTTGTCCTGCCGTGCGCCGCCGTCCGTCCGTCCGTCCGTCCGCCGGTGCGCGGCGCGAGGCGTCCGTCTCTTGACGTCACTGTCCATTCATTGGGGGTCCGGCCGACACGCCCGGCCGCCCGGCCCGCCGCGTACTCGGAACTGGAGGAGAGAGAGGGTGTCGGACTCACGCCCCGGGTATTTTCTAGGCTGAGCGAGTAAGAGAGAGGGAGAGAGAGGGAGAGAGAGAGACTGTTCATTCAGCTTCGGTCTGGATGTGTCAGCGGGAGCGGGGCAACGCGAGAGGCGCGAGTCAGTCGCGCGCGCGCGTCCCGGTTTTTGGCGACACAAATTTCCTTACATGGCGCTGCTGCAGCAGCGGGCTCTGGTGGGCGAGGCGTGGCGTGATAACGGCGCCACGCCCCGCCACGCCCCGATGTGTTTGCGTTTCGGTTCGCACCTCGGCGGGCCCCGCGGGACGGGGGGCACACGGCCCGGTGTCCAGCCGGCGGTACCATGGTATGCGCGCGACGCGACGACGACGCGCCTTGTCACCGTGACGTCACTGGCGACGCCGTCGCGACGTCACGTCACACTGCTCACCGCCGAAACTTTTTGAAACGTATAGCTGCCTGCGGTCGCGCGTCGCGTCTGTCCGGCGCGGAACTATGAGGAGGGGTGCGGCCGGATCCGCCTTCCCCTCCTCTAAATGCTTTCCTCTCTTAGAATACTGTACAGGCCGGGCCGGGCCCGGGCCGGGTAGTCTCCGCCGGCGGAGGTAATTGTGGCGGCCCGCGTTGTCTACGTACGAGCCGCGCAACAAAGTCACCTTCGACACTCGTTCTTCCTAAACCCG